TTCGGAGAAATTCCAAATTTGGACATAGGAGAGAGAACAATGGCCGCAGTTTGGAGCACGACTGAGAATTTACGTCGTTTCGACTCAAAACTCAAATTTTAGACCCTATCTCGATCTACGTATGGATTTGAGGTTTGGATTCCATGGGTCGGGTCAGGTTCTAAATTATCCAAATAGTAATTCAGATTGGATCCACGTACAGGTGGATTCGATCAGGATTTGACTCAGTATTTGTTATATTGTATTTTTTATTATATATTACTTTATAGATATAAAATAATATATAAAGGAAAAATTCTATATAGAGTTGAGGCTCTAAACAATCAAATTAGAGCCTACCTCAAAGATTTCATTAGAAGATGTTGTTTTGATGTCCAGATATCCTCAAATTGATCATCTCGACATCAAGATGCATGGACCTGCGAAAAAAAAAAACGGATTTTAAGTTTTGAAAATAGTGTATTAACGTATTTTTAGACAATCAAGATTTTAAAGTTTTCATAGATCTGTTGATGTACATTATTTTTTAAGCTTTAAAGTTTATAAATAAAAATGAAAATATATTTTAAGGCTATCACAAAAATTTTCCAGTGTTGAAACTACCTTTCTCGACACTATTTGAATGTAGGATCTAATTTGATTGTTTAGAGCCCAGGCTCTATACAAGTTGCACCCATGTATAAAACATTTTTTGGATTTGATGGGGTTTAAATGCGGATCCTATGTATACCTTTCATATCTAAATCCAGATCATGTTGGCTTTGGATCCAATCCAACCCATTCTTAACCCTAGTTTTGAGCATAGTTATCAAGAACGGACTAAATTGGTAGTCCAACTGGTCGCTAACTCGTGCCTTGGTCGCCCTAATCTAAGGTAAAATTTCAGTTTAGTAGAAAATTAATCAAACGTATTGTTTAACCAGTTTTAGATGGTTTAACGAAGGGCTCACCTACCTAAATAACGTTACAAAAAAAAAAATAATACAATATTTTTAAACTACTACATCGACCTTTCTTTTCCTTTTGCTAAAAAGGTCCAAGTGGTTTGATGAATACCTGTACTGATTTTGATTGGGACAAAGGTCTCATTGGTTCATCAGTCGGTCCAATATTGATAATTGTGAGCAATGGTTTAAAAAGCGGATCAGTGATTCGGATCGGGTACTTAAAAAATCGATCTGAATCGATGATCCGAATCGAAAATCAGTTGAATCAGTCCGATTAAAACTTCAAAAGAATCTGAAAAAATTATTAAAATTCATTATAAATGTTATTTTTTAGGAATCCAATAAGAAAAGAGGGTACTACATTATTAACTTTCATTTTTTTCATCAATTTGTGAATATTGAGATGCTCTTTCTCTGTATAAACTTAAGTATTAAATTTGCATCACATAAAAAAAAATCATAGAATTATAATGGATAAAATATATAATTATACATGGATTATAATAAAAAGTAGACTAAATCAATGGAAGAATGGCCATTAAAATCTTGTTTTGGCGAAAAACCCTAATCCGCTAAAAAAATCAAAATTATTACTGCCTAACTACCTATAATCTAAAATTATTACAACCTAACTAATTATAATATTATATACTAAAATTATAATTATTAGTTTCCATTTTATAATTATTTTATTAGACAAATAATAGCAAATTAAAAATATTTTATAATATTATCTAATTTAAAATGTATTATTGATAACTGGAAAAAAATAGTACATTATATGATTTATAATGTAAAAATTAATAAATAAAATAAAAGATTTGGTTATCAATATAAAAATTAATAAAATGTGCACAAATTTTGAAAATAACACTTTAATTTATTATATGCTTGAGGGGGAACAAAAATTAGCTCAAGATGGGATAAACTACTATATGACCCAAGAGGGGATCCGAATTTGAGAACTCATAGCAAATAACATCAGTGATAACTATTATGCCTCCTCAGCATATGTGTTTAAAATTGCCTATTAATAGCCTATATTTACATTCTGTTTTCATTTAATGATGTTTGGGAATTATCCCACATCGAAAGATGAGTACTCAAATATGCTATATAAATAACTATGTAATTGGAAAATAAACATAAGTGTGAAAACACTAGTGCATCCATGCACATTCACATGCATGTGCGTGTGGCACATGTGGGAGTGGTATGTGTCACACGTGTGACGCATACACACGTGCGGGAGTGGTGCGTGACGCGTACACACGGGCTGTGCCGATTCCTCGAGTCGAACCGGACTCGCCCAGTACGACTCCGCTGGTAAACTGATTCAGTCACTCTAACCTGGTAAAGTCCCAGGCGTTGAAAAAAATATAAAAAAAAATCCTACTAAAATAGAGAAGCATATATAGAATGATTAAAGCAAAACATGATTAAAACAAAACACATTCAAATGAACTTGAAAATTAATGAAAAAATAAGATTTTAACCTATTTTATATTTTCCAATGACTATTTTCAAAATTTTCTAAAAAAGATAGGAAATATAAAAGTGAGTATTAATGATCAAAACAATTTTTAATCTTTATCATAATATAAAGAATTTTTAAAAATGTATTACAAATCAAATTCTTTATTTTTTAGAATTTATATATATATTTTTGAATTTTTTTTTTTAAATACCAATTGATCACCCTAACCGTCCAAAACCGGATCTAACCGAGCAGTTAGCTGTTAAATCCGGCGATTTTGTGAACCATGGATCAAACCCTTGAACAGTTAGATGGTCCGATCTTGATAATGCAGGTCGAAGAGTGATCATCGAAATTTCGGGGAAATTTGGAATGGAGTATGGAGACCAATTCCTAAATGCTTAACCGAAATTTCGGCAAAAAATTTGGAAGTGAGAAGACAAGGACCATTTCCTAACAAAGATTCACTAAAATTTCGGCGAAATTTGAAAGGGAGAGGACAGAGGATGGGGTCCTAGGAATCACGTGACACGTGAAACCCAAGAGGGATTCTTATCGAATGAGGGAAAAATGAATCAGAAAATAATCAAATATTAATTCACAAAAACTTGGGATGAGAGAGAGAGAGAGTTGTTTGTTTTGAATGACACATAACGAGGAGTTGGGCAGGGTGCTTTCTCTCTCTAGATCAAACAAGTTTTATCTCTAGGAGAGAGAAAGTGGGACTCCCTGTCGCCGTTCAAGCAAGTGGACCTCGTTTGGTAGAGGTAGAAAGTGTGGGTCTCTTTCTCTCTCTAATGGCTCTCTCTCTCCCCTACCCCTAAGAAAGGGATCTTGTGGGGTAGGTATTGGCAAGTGGGTCTATATGTGTGGTCCTATTGGTAAGTAGGTGAAAGTGCCTGTTTGAGATGTTTTCTCTCTCTAACTACCCAGTTTTTCTGTCTTGTTAGTAGGAACTAAGATGTGGTTCTTTCTCTCTCTCTCTAAGACAGGTGGTTTTCTCTCTCCAAGAGCTTATTGGATAGTAGGATAAGTTTTTTTCTCTCTCTAAGAACTAGTTAGGTGATTTGTGTCTCTTATTGGGTAATAGGATAAATTGTTCTCTCTCTAAGAACTATGTGGTTTCTCTCTCTAGGATATCTCCTTCTGCTTGTCGTTAGAAGAGCTTGTGTGAATGTGTGCAATGAAGGTGCTCTTGACCTGAAAGAGCTTGTGTGAATGTGTATATGGGTTTATGTGTGCAATGAAGGTGCTCTTGACCTGAAACCACCAATATCCATCAAAACAAAAGAGAGTTATATTTGGAGACCTCTCCTTCATTTGAGGAGAATTTTGACCCGTCTCTGTTGTGGACCCACTTGGAAAAGGCTATAGCACACTGTACACTTACTCCCCAAGTGAAATAATTGAGGGTTTTCATGATTTATTAACCGAAATCTACTTTGCAATGGCATAATTAGTATTCCAACAAAAAAAAATTAGACACTTTGGTTTGGCTGTCGAGAAATTAAACGGGCTATGTTCAATCTTAGGATTGGTGATTTAAAAAATGTTCGGTCGGCAAGGAATCGTCTCGACCGACCTGGGAATAGTCATCCGTTCCAATTTTATGTATATAAAGAAAAATGACCGAGTCTAGAAAGGAACTAGCAGCTCTGCACAGTCAAACGGTGACATGGATCGCCTATTCACCGATGTGGGGGGTATGGTCACTGACTTTTCCCTTGTTTTCTCGATGGTCCACTGTTTTTTCTACACAATAAAACATCGATCAATACCGTTTTTTGGGGACCTGATCTGAGTCACCAATCCGTTTTTTAAATAAAAGAGAAAAAGAGAGAAACAATTGGAAAATTGTTTCAAACGGGAGGGACTGCATGACTACATATGCGGTTTAAAAAGCGTAAAGCATCCATAAGATGAATGCAAACGGGTGTCCCATCTAAAAACATTAGAAACTAACGGTCCAAATGGTTATTTACTTATTATTTCTAATTTTTAAAATTTACCTATTTTTTCATACTCATGATCTCCGTGTTAGAGATTACATGTCTTTAAAATTTAAATTCAAAAGATCTATTTAAAAAATAGATTTATTAATAAGCCTGTATTCTTACGTATGCGGGCTTGGCCGAATAGAAAGTAGGTTCGAAATAATTTCCTATTGAAATTTACCGCATGAATGTTTTATAATTGGGTCCCGCTTTTAATTAAGACGTGTTGAAAGATGACAGCGTTAATCAAAAGGTAGCAAAGACCATTTCTCATACGAAAAGTTTATATGGATGAATTGAAATGAGCCGAACTTTCAAAAGTTAGGTGCTGCAATGGTGGAAATCCTCAAATCAAGCATCTCGGCCTCAAGAAGATGGGATGTAAGTTATAAAAATAGTGCATCTGCATTATCTCGACTCTATTTTGAGCTTTGGATTTCCTAATTAGGGTTAACAATAAATTAATCTCTCAGTAGAGCCAATATGCAGACGTTGAAATCCGACACAACAAGATATCCGACAAGTCCGAGTGAGCTTAACTCGGATTCTTGAAACATAGATTTTGACCACAGGAAGCTCATGTTTAACAGGAAAAGAAAGCTTTAGCTTTTCATTTATATTTCTTTGGAATGCCAGCATTATTTACAAGGACCATGAGAGACTCTTGGGTATCACCCTTGACATCTAGAGTGAGAATGGACCCAATTACGGAACATTAACCACCATTAGTAGCAATTCCCCATCAACTAGTTGTTGACACTGAACCCATGGCTCATAGTTTAAGGAATTTACACTTGTGATTGAGTTTTTCTCTCTGTGCGTCACTTCATGAGTATGACTTAATCAAACCCAAATTGTAGAGAAACCTCTCAGACCTAGACCTGAACAGATTCCCCAAAGAGAATTTCCCACTCTCTTGTGAAGGAGGTTTGGAGTATATATCATCTTTGACTTGGAGTATGGTTTGTCCAATTGCACTTCTTATGGCCTCAATTGTTTGGCTTTCCACTGGATTTCCTGATGCATCAGTCACATAGAATACATTCACAGCTTTGGATCCTCTTGTCGTCACTTCAGCTCGAGAAACAGATAATCCATTCTCTCGAAATATGCGTGTTACATCAGAAAGGAGACCGATTCGATCGTCGCTACATAACTCAAGCCTCAAACCCTAAATTACAGTTATGCGAAATGAAATCTTAGTTCAAGCTAAATTAAATTCATGAAAAACACAAACTAGATGTGAAATCCATAAATGACAAGTTCTATTTCCCAAACCAAGCTCAATGTTTCTTGACACTTAATTAAGCAAGAAGGGGTAAAATGGGAGTTGTTGTAGTTTAATTTTCAGTTTTACCTCAGATGTTCGCCTTTCTATGGCAGCTTCCAAGCAATCGATCACTCTCTGTTTCTCTGCATCTGAACTTAGGGGGCACCCATCCATATGTCGAATATAATACTCCTGTTTCAAGTTAAAATTCAGTACAAAAGATTGGTAAGAACACTAGGGGGCAATTAAAGAACTTTAAAATGGTCTAAGGTATCAAGTAGTGGCTTCAATGTTAGAAAGAATAGGACAAACTAAATTCTCACAATGTTTAGACCAGTTGGTATTTTGCTTTTGTTATTTTCTTGTATAATCAGAATACAGAAAGCCAGACAGTCCAAAGAGTCAAGGCTGAGTAGTTTACAAAGGAGCAATGTCATTCACAAAAACCAAAGCCATAGAAGACAGATGAACAATTTGTTTAGGTAAGAATGCATAACTAAACCAGGCTTGCTCAAGCAAAGGTCTTTCCACTTGATCGTCTCTGAGTCATAATCTGACTGATAATTGAATGCATCTCTCTCTCTCTCTATATATATATATATAGGGAAAAGATGTTGTTAGCCTAGATGTGTATTGTTACAATAAGCACCCACGGCCCAGATTAAATCTGGGCCGACCTGACAATCACGGATGTCCGATAGTGTTTTAATTTTAATTTATTTTCTACAAATCCAAATCACTTGAAATTTTAAGCGCGTGTTCTTCAAAAATAGGTTAATCTACAAAAAATATCAAAAAAAAAAATTTACATGAAATAAATTGACCAAAATACCCCAAAACGTTTTGGGAGATATTTTGGTCAATTGTTTTTTCCAAATTATTTTTTTATTAAGTGCGCCTTGATGAAAAAAATGCATGCTTAAAATTTCAAGTGATTTAGATTTGTAAAAAGCAATTAAAATTCAAACAATATCGGATATCCGTGAGCGTCAAGTCGGCCACAGAATGGTTCAGATTCAATCTGGGCCATTCGTGGGCGTATGGGTGTACGACAGTGACTCCCATATATATATATATATATATATATATATATATACTCCTTACTTCCTTTCTTACTA